TAGCCCCCACTTCCGGCTTCTTGTTCCGCCCCTTCCGCTTGATATTTGCTTCCGCTTCCGGCCGTGGCGTCCCGGCTAGCCGTGAAGAGCTTTGCATTGTGGGAATTCCTTCTTTTCTTGCTCCCCGGCCATCTTGGCGGCCGCTTTTGGTGAGTGGGGTACACCGGCCTGAAGCTTAGGCAGCGTGCGAAGTCTTGCAGGTTGCCGTTTGGAGCTCCGGGTCCTAAACTTCCTGTCCTGTCCTCTGTATGTTCTAGGTTGGGGGCCTTCCCGCACCTAAGGCAGGAAGATGGTGGCTGCAAAGAAGACGGTGAGTGAGGTGGACCAGGCCGATTCACGTGGAGACATGATTCTCGGCCGGGGCGGGAAGATCTTAGTACACTGGAGAGACAGCATGCCCACTGGCATTGGAGGGTCCCAAAGGGAAACCGAGAGCCCCTCCCAATGACTTGGGGCCCTCCACTTCGAAGATTTTATTAAGGGGCTCGGCTCCAGAAAGCTAGACCCAGTTTTGAGGTGGTTATGAACGATCACTGAAGGTGCATGTTAAATGTTTGCTTTGTAGAAAAAATCGCTGGAGTCGATCAACTCTAGGCTCCAGCTCGTTATGAAAAGCGGAAAGTACGTGCTGGGGTACAAGCAGACTCTGAAGATGATCCGACAAGGAAAAGCGAAATTGGTCATTCTCGCCAACAACTGCCCAGCTCTGAGGTAACCGAAGGACCCTCAGCTTGTGTCGTCCACCGCGAATTAATCGTGAGCGAATTTCCAGGAGTGTAAACTTGTACTTTGGGTGGCATGAACTCGATTTTATGTAAAACTTGTTTTCCAAGCGAACACTTGCAGAATATTACGGTTGCTATTATGATGTTTGGCTCTCGATCCCTGTTCTTTCCTTCTGTAAGTGTATCTTTGGGGAGAAATGTGTGACAGGAGCGGCAAAAACATACAACGTCAAAGTTTGAGGGAAGCACATACACATAATTTGTTTTTTCGTGTATTTTGTGTCCTGGTTTTTTGGGGGGTCATTCTTTTAGCTAGGAGATGCTTTAGAGCTGGTTTATTTTATGAAAACCAGAAAGAAAAGCCAGGTAAGAAAAGTTCAGGTGGGACTATAGAGTTGCAGGTTATCACAGAATCACCTTGTTCAGCCGACACTATAAATTCTCTGAGCCATGGTTTATGTTTGACTCACTGTTTTGAAAATGAACTTAGTGGGTATTGTAAATAAGCTAAAGAAACTTGGACCTTACAGAACATAAGCCATGCGATCAGTCCCCTACCCTCATTGATTTTTCTATGGCAATGCATACTCTGCTCACAGCATCTTATATAGGGTGTCGGTACAAAGCCTGGAGTGCTGTATTCATTCCATTACATGGTTTGGTTTTAATCCAAGCCATTGTTCCAAACTTTAAAACATACCTTCTATAGTAGTACTTCTCAAATATGATTATGGGTGATCTTGATTCAGTGGGTCTGGGATGGGGCCTGAGATGGATTTCTAAAAAGCCCCTGTGACACTGTTACTATTCTGTGAATCCACACTTTGAGTGGCAAGGTTCTGTAGGACTCCTTTCAACTTCCTAATTATTCGTATCCATTAAATTGACACCGAAATGTTAATTCTTTGGGTAAATAATGTCACTCTCCATCTAGGATTCAGGGTGCTGGAGGGTGATAGAAATAGCTTATCTTTTGAAGATAACCTGGATTTGGATTCTGGGTCTTGCACATACTCTGTGTCTCATTTTCTTCATTGGTTAAAAAACATGGAGTACATAATCACCTACTTTAGCGGTTGTCATAGGAATTATATAATGTACAGTGTCTGGCACAGTGTCTGAGCAAATAATGCTTTATATTTTTGTGCATCCTACCCTCTACCATGCACATAGATACTGTCTTAAATATAGTTGGTGCTCATCAGGTATTTGCTGATTGCCCTGTCATTTGAAAGGGCTCTAAGTAGAGGTTGGCTTGTATCAGTTAATGGATATGGTAATATGATTTTAAGAGTAATAAGTGGTTTACTGTTTGAAGGCCTCACCAACATTAAAACAAGAGAAGTAGTATCATTTAGTCTGTCAGTCACTTGGGTAAGGCATTTATTTGCCCTTTTTTGGTTCCCAAAGGAAATCTGAAATAGAGTACTACGCCATGTTAGCCAAAACTGGAGTCCATCACTACAGTGGCAATAATATTGAATTGGGCACAGCATGTGGAAAATACTACAGAGTATGCACACTGGCTATCATTGATCCAGGTATGCTTTTTAAATCATTTTTTCCTTCATAATGTAATATAAGTATTTGCTGTGCAAATGTCTATGATTCCTGAGTTCAGATAATAAGAATTTCGATATGGCAAGGGATATCCTATAATTTTATTTCTCAGAGAATTGATAATGAATACTAGTACATTATAANTCCTTCATAATGTAATATAAGTATTTGCTGTGCAAATGTCTATGATTCCTGAGTTCAGATAATAAGAATTTCGATATAGCAAGGGATATCCTATAATTTTATTTCTCAGAGAATTGATAATGAATACTAGTACATTATAATTAACTTTGGGGAGCGGGGGAAGGAAGAATTGGTAAAGGGACATGAAAATCAACTACACTGTATATTGATAAAAATAAAATAAAAGTAATTAGCTTTGTTATAAATGAAAATTGTTTTCCTTTGAGATCATGAATTTCCTAAGAAATAATGACTTAGGAAGTTGGTGATTATGAGGGGGGATAATCAGGTGAAATAGTGGAAGAAAATGATCTTTCCTTGCTGCCTGGGAACAGGTAAAATTAGGTTGGCGGGGGGAAGTGCCTGCAAATACATATTCTATTTTGAACTTATGATTTTTTAGTTAATTTATAAAATACTGCGAATATTCTCGCTGTTCTGATTTTGTAATAATCAGAACAGGCTAAACATTCGCTATATTAAGACCATGCATGTGTCCCCAGACCTAGTTCTTTCCCTAGGTCTGGTTTTATAAATGCTTGTGATAAACCATGTCTGACTTACTTATTATTTGGTCATTTTGTGTGATCATATAATGGCTGTGATTTTAGATTACCTTTGTTCAACCTTAAAAAAAGCTAGAATAACTTTTGCAAATGGTGCTAATTTGCAGACTTTTGTCTAAAGGAGGCATAACCAGAGTAGGGAAATTTTATGATTACCAGTTGCCATTAAATGAATTGTAAAATTACTGTATCTTTTTTTTTTTTTTTTTTTTTTTGGT